AGTATCCAGGCAAAGTTTTAAAAAGATGTAAAATTTTCACGACATTGTTATAATTTCTAGAGTCAAGAATCTATTAAATTATTATGTTGACTTTAGTTTGATTGAATTATCCCACCGTCTCCTTGTTTAGGATTGAGATAAGGATTCTTGAAAGGTGGGGTAGGGTTAGGGTTATGCTATGGCTTGTAATAAGGTTTGGCTTCTCGTTGACCTTTCCCATCTGGTACTCGGCTTATATATCATACATGTCACTCTTTTCAGAAAGTGAAATTATGACAACTTCTCAATTCATTTACTGTCATTTAATATCTTTTCACGTAGGTGTCTCTGTTAGTCCTCGTTTATTAACCTTGTTACCAGGATACCTTTTAAATCTGTCATGGATAGAAGAAAATATCAGCTACAGTTCGATGTAAGAACTGTGAGTTGTAACTAGGCAAAAATAGATCTAGTGATACATTGTTATTATTCAATTGATTATGATTTATCGGATATTGCCCTTCATAAATTGTTATTATATTTTAGTAGGCTGTCACACTTGAATATTTTACATTTGAGATTTATTTCACAAAAAAAGTGGAAATCCAAGAAAAATGGTAGCAATTGATCATTTAAATTACACGCGATTGCATATCGAATACGGTCAGAAATATGAAATATTCAATGCATCGGAATAAAGTGTTGGCTTCTAAGTGTTTTAGCTTATCCAAGATGAATGTCCACATTGTTCCCAATAAATTATCTTAATCTATTAACAGACTTAAGTAGCAAATGATTTCTGGAGAACAACTTGTTTTGGGCAACTTGGCCAAGTGAACAAATTGTCTACTAAATGCCAAGGTCTTATTAACTAACGATGGACGATGGTTTATAGCGTTTAAAGGGCGATCCGAAGACATGAGAAATCAGCAAAGCAAGCTAATTTCCTGATTTTCAGCGATCCATCAGGACGGCCCCATAAGTTAACCCCTGTTGCATCTTTCAACTGATACCTATCGCCAATGAGACCACATCTTTAGACATATCGGCCTATTAGCAATTAGTCTTAATTCAACTTAAGAAACTAAACTAGTTACATTTCATCATTATATAAGGATGGTCCCCGATCCAGTCCGAAGAAAGATACTAAAGAAATGAATATAAATTGACTTTATCACTTTGTATTTGGGGATATGTGCTATCTATTTCTATTCATACATGTGTCGTCTGAATCATCGCGGCGATACGCCCTGACGCCATTGTAAATTCAAACTATTTTTCTTTTTTTGTCGCTGTTGGTGTACTATGTAGTTGTTGCACCAAATGCACCAATTATTATACTGTTCAAACTCCGTCCTAAAAAGATAGACGAACGGGTTGCCTAGTAACTCATCTTCATAGTTATCAGCTGTCTTCAAGAAAACTGCTTTTGTTTTTTCAGGAGTACAAAATACTAAATCACATGTACCGCAGATCGTGAAATAGGGAAACCGTTGTACTAATTTTGGATTTTGCGTCCCAGGATAGCATTTTGAAGAGTGGGTATGCATCCTTGTGTAGTGGAGAAAGGAATTTTATCTTGTTGTGCAGGCATGCCGCGATTGTGTTACCAAAACTCTAATGAGGACCATAAACCACTATGTGAGGCGAGACTTTGCAATGCTCTGCTCCTTTCCTTTCCATTCTATTTTCATATACACACCTTGCGTATATTTAGGAATACAGAAACATCTGTTGAGAGATTACTTTACAACATTGTTCACTGATGAATGGACATAGGGGAGAATATTGCATTACTTAGAATCCCCTCTCCCCTTCGCATCTTTTACTTCATCAAATCTACGTACTCTGAATGCATCTTATACCAATCCCCTCTCCCCTTCCCAGTTCATCCTTTATATGCATCTTATACCAATCCCCTCTCCCCTTCCCAGTTCATCCTTTATATGCATCTTATACCAATTCCCTCTCCCCTTCCCAGTTCATCCTTTATATGCATCTTATACCAATTCCATCTCCCCTTCCCAGTTCATCCTTTATATGCATCTTATACCAATTCCATCTCCCCTTCCCAGTTCATCCTTTATATGCATCTTATACCAATTCCATCTCCCCTTCCCAGTTCATCCTTTATATGCATCTTATACCAATTCCATCTCCCCTTCCCAGTTCATCCTTTATATGCATCTTATACCAATCCCCTCTCCCCTTCGCAGTCCATCCTTTATATGCATCTTATACCAATTCCCTCTCCCCTTCGCAGTTCATCCTTTACTTCATCAAATCTACGTACTCTGTATGCATCTTATACAAATCCCCTCTCCCCTTCCCAGTTCATCCTTTATATGCAACTTATACCAATCCCCTCTCCCCTTCGCATCTTTTACTTCATCAAATCTACGTACTCTGTATGCATCTTATACCAATCCCCTCTCCCCTTCCCAGTTCATCCTTTATATGCATCTTATACCAATCCCCTCTCCCCTTCCCAGTTCATCCTTTATATGCATCTTATACCAATCCCCTCTCCCCTTCCCAGTTCATCCTTTATATGCATCTTATACCAATCCCCTCTCCCCTTCCCAGTTCATCCTTTATATGCATCTTATACCAATCCCCTCTCCCCTTCGCAGTTCATCCTTTATATGCATCTTATACCAATCCCCTCTCCCCTTCCAAGTTCATCCTTTATATGCATCTTATACCAATCCCCTCTCCCCTTCCCAGTTCATCCTTTATATGCATCTTATACCAATCCCCTCTCCCCTTCCCAGTTCATCCTTTATATGCATCTTATACCAATTCCATCTCCCCTTCCCAGTTCATCCTTTATATGCATCTTATACCAATTCCATCTCCCCTTCCCAGTTCATCCTTTATATGCATCTTATACCAATCCCCTCTCCCCTTCCCAGTTCATCCTTTATATGCATCTTATACCAATCCCCTCTCCCCTTCCCAGTTCATCCTTTATACGCATCTTATACCAATCCCCTCTCCCCTTCGCAGTTCATCCTTTATATGCATCTTATACCAATCCCCTCTCCCCTTCCCAGTTCATCCTTTATATGCATCTTATACCAATCCCCTCTCCCCTTCCCAGTTCATCCTTTATATGCATCTTATACCAATCCCCTCTCCCCTTCCCAGTTCATCCTTTATATGCACCTTATACCGATCCCCTCTCCCCTTCGCAGTTCATCCTTTATATGCATCTTATACCAATTCCATCTCCCCTTCCCAGTTCATCCTTTATATGCATCTTATACCAATTCCATCTCCCCTTCCCAGTCCATCCTTTATATGCATCTTATACCAATCCCATCTCCCCTTCCCAGTTCATCCTTTATATGCATCTTATACCAATCCCATCTCCCCTTCCCAGTTCATCCTTTATATGCATCTTATACCAATCCCCTCTCCCCTTCCCAGTTCATCCTTTATATGCATCTTATACCAATCCCCTCTCCCCTTCCCAGTTCATCCTTTATATGCATCTTATACCAATCCCCTCTCCCCTTCCCAGTTCATCCTTTATATGCATCTTATACCAATCCCATCTTGGATGATCGAGTGTGATTGAAGTTTTGACGAACCCCATTACACTTTGATGATGAAGTTTTAGATGAATCTGAAACTGCAATTTGCCATAAATTACCAAAGATATAAAAGTCAATGTCATTGTGATCTCGAATCTAAATTTCCAAGGAAAAAAGAAACATTCGCAATGGTACTGAAAACTACTGATACATTATTTATTAATAATATTGTGACATTTAGATTTTTCATTAATTCAAATTTTAATTAAATACAAATTAAATTGCTATTGTTCAAAATGCTACAGATTGATAATAGTATCGGGTTGATAATGTATTGAAATAAATGAAATCAAATAATTATAGAAGATCGATAATCCAAAGCTCAGAGAAAGCATACGAGTAGAGATATTATACGATTTTAACAGAGTTGTAAAGTGTGCACCTGATAGTAAATATGCTTGAAATAAGATAAATCCTAATTACTAAACGATTTACAGATCTTCGTTCGCAGTCGAACGTTAAAGCAATTTCGAACAAGTGAAAAATTGACATTTAGAATCGTTTCCCTTGTTTGAAAATGAGGCAGATGTTTAGTATGTGCGTTGTGTGTTTGTTGGGAAGGCTGTCAACCATCGATCATCATCTCTCAACTATAAACCAGTCGAGATGGGATTCCTGACCGCCCCATTATTGACGCCTGTCCATTACCTCATTAGCAAAAGATAGTACTATCCTTGATTAATCCTTTTACACTTTTTCTGTTGTAGGGGGAACTTGTAGCTGGACAGACCGGGTGAAATAATGAATGCCGATAATTAAATTGCTTGGAGATAACGAAATAGTTGACCTGTGAACAGTCTTGCAGTTCATTGTTGAGCGAGCCACAGACGCATTAATGAGAGCGCATAATAATCAAACCAATCGAATCGGAAAACCAGGAGCAAAGTCCACAGATGGTCATTGGAACCCCATATATAATGCATTTTATGGATCGCCCTGAAGTTTGATCGCTGGATCGCCATTAAATAGAAAAATTCCGACATCGGGACATAATTCCAGACAAATTATGAAGTAATGATTTAAGACAAATGCTGCATATACATCGTAATGTGTAAACAAAAATTACGATATCCTGTGTTAAAATGAGGGAAAGTTGATACGACCTAGGACCTAGTGATGGAATTATTTGCTGAAATGTTATCCAAACTTTAATAGATTATTGGAGAGTATTTGGCAAAGAAAACGTTGTAATGATGCAGCATTTCACCAATCAATTGAAAAAAGAGGTATAATTAGGCACGCTACATTTGTTTCAATTCCCGTGGAACTGCTACATTTGCAGTGGACCATTGTGAGATACAAGCTCACTTTTACCAGAGAAGTACTTAATTCCCATGTGGCATTTTACTCATAGGGTATTAACCCAGTAATAAAATAGAATTAGACGAAGGCATAACTCATTGCATATATCCACATTGAAACATGGATTATTCTACGAATGGATTACAGTTTGGATCTCGTATTGCGCAATTGAATGTAACTATTGATAACGGTAGTATGAGGAATGTTCCTACCTCAGCAAATGCAATGGAGATCTTTACGGCCAATGAAAGTGGACTCTATGGGACGAAGGAGTCCCCTTGTGAGGCCCCGAGTATTGTGGAAATAAGTAAATATGTTTATATTTACGTAATCCCCGTGATTACAATAATGGCGCTAATATGTAATATGCTTTCTTTTATCATATTTGTATCAAAGTCGTTCCGCTGTCACTCGTTTGCCTTGTATTTGGCTTGCCTGGCAATCACCGACACCCTCTCTATAGTGTCAAACTTTTTAAGGGAGTGGCTGGGTAAATTATCAGATATGATTCATCAGGACCAGACTTTCGATGTTTATAATCAGTCGGATGCCGCTTGCAAGATTATTAACTTTGTTTCATACTCTTCTCGAATGATATCATCTTGGATGCTGGTCGCGATGACAACGGAGAGGGCACTTGTAGTAATGTTTCCATTGAAACGCATTCTGATTTGTACGGTTTCCATGGCGACCAAGATTGTAATTGGTGTTATTGTTGGTGGCTTGGCAGTGGGTGTCTACCCCTTGGTAATAGGCAAAATGAAAGAGAGCAACGGTGAACTATTTTGTTCTCATATTGAGGGCTACGAGGAAACAACTTTTTATTTTTCCATTGGATACATGGTCGTCATTATAATTATACCTTTCGTTGCCATATCAGCTTTGAATACTGTGATCATCTGTCGGACATTTGGGCGAACAAAGAGTCTTGGGCGGTTGACATCCAACGTGTCCCGTGCTAGCAATGCTAGTAAGAGAGGGGACGTCAAACTAACTATCATGCTTATAACGGTTTCCACGTCTTTTGCCATATTGGCAGTCCCGTATACTATCGCGTGGGCCATTTATTTCAACGATTTCCTCAATGCTAAAGCCATGAACTTAAAGTGCAACGTTGTCGTGTTACATTCCAATGCAATCAAGGGTATCACTGACATTATCTTCAACCTGAACTATTGTATCAACTTCTGGCTTTACGCTATCAGCGGGACATCTTTCAGGAGACAATTGAGGTTACTCTGCCAGTGCGGACGATCTTGGTCATTCAAGAAATTGCGGGCATCACGCTCTCAAAACAACAATTGCAACAGGGATAGTGGTGACCCTTACGGGACTGAAGTTACAAGCACGCTCACTCGCGTGTCAAGATCTGAGTGCGATTTGGCAACGCACACAACATCATGTCTGTAATCTTGGCAACACACAATGCATATACGTTACTTCGGTAACACAAGTGCATTGTACTATAGCGTACTTTGACCATAACAATGCGAACATTATACGGCTTATAGACTTTTTTAACACGCAATAGTTTCTTTGGGAGTTCGATCGTATCTACAACATTCAATATTGGTATCGACACATTTGGAATCGTGTGTGTATCCATGGTAACAAGCACTATAGTTTGTGTGTATTATTGGTAATGAATACACACAACATATATAGCCTTGGTAAAGACTTTGACATCACATATGGTTGCTACGTGTCATTGGACGTGATAGTAACACACCTAACAGGAGAATAGAATTATAAGTTACCTTAGCTACACCAAAGTAATATAAAGTTGCACGGACGATATCATTTTAGTTAATGCACTTAAGTAACAAAGAAAGCGCGTCATTTTATAACACATACGACATCGATTGTGTATGTGTAACCGTTGTTGATCACACGGCACAAGTCATCATATTTATGATCTTTACATAGCACTTGGTGTCCACTGGAACCTTAATGACGCTCAGGACGTCATGGAAGGAACCTTGTTAAAAAGCACGACATTAATTGTGTAATATTTTGATATAACTTTTTACCACACCATCGGTGGGATAAAATCCCTCATTAGATTTTCTCAAAATTCGCACATAATAGAGGATATCAAGTTCTATACCCAATTAACTTTTGGACGGCCATCTTGTTTTCTGGCGGTCATTTTGAACATTTTCAATAAATCTTGTCATCGCGATTTCAGGAAACCGCTCATCAGATTTTCTCCAAATTCGAACACATGATAAAAATATCAAGTTTTAGAGCTCAAAATCTTTGAGCTACCTTTTTGTTTTCTGGCGGCCATTTTGAAGGTTTCGATAAATCTTGTCATTGCCATTTCAGGAAAATTGCTCATCGGATTTCTCCAAATTTGCACACATGATAGAGGATATTAAGTTCAAGAGCTGATAAACCTTTGGGCGCCCATCCTTTTTTGGCGGCCATTTTGAAGGTTTTTCGATGGTGTGATCTCGTTCACGTCATGTGCCTTGTTTGTTATAATGCACGGGATTGATAAGTATGTAACCATGGAAATGGAAACAAAGACGTAACGCATAACACCATCTTTAAGTTTGTAACCGTAACTAGGAATACATTATTTTAATCATAGGCACAACATAATAATGTAACCTTGGTAACACACATAGCACTGTATCGGTAACCTTGGTAACACTCACGAGACTAAGTGTAACCTGCCTGTAATGTTCAAGCTTGTGTGTGAATATTGTAGCCTAAATGTAGTACATTTGTTAAATATCGAACTATATGTATGTATTCATTACTACGATTGTGTTGTCTTGTGTATATTTAAATCATGTATATATGAATACAAATAGGCATATAATATTAATATACGTTTAATTGTTTGTGAATGCTTTAATTGTCAAGTCCCCATGTCTCACTGCTCCACAGCTGGATGACCCTTACTGCAGTTAGTTTCATTCAAGATGGTTGCCGAAATTCTTTCGTTTTCGACAAACCTCCGATTTTAGCCAAGGGGGATTGGCAGCCAAAATGCAACATTGATACTTCCTAACAAAACTAGCGTCATTCCTGGAGTCGTATTTCTCACTTCAAAATTTGAATCGCAAGTTTTGGTCTTATTACTAACACCGTACACAAGAAATGATCAAGATCGTTATATATATATTAGTGGCTTAATGAATGGTCATTATTACCACCTTGCCGGGCCAGTTCTAGGGGTTTTGGTGCTAGTTTAGAAGGCATTCATTTTACTATATCGACCTGAGCAATATGTGACGTCATAGTGGCGGTCAATACTGCCGGTCGAGAATGCAAAAAATGACCGGCAATTTTCCCCGGGAAATTAGATATCGTTCAGTGCGTGAGATTTTCTTGCTGTTTCAGTCCTGGTCAGTGACGGTGGTAAAAATACTAATAACGTCATTTCTGCGGGCAACATAGTGAAATATTGGACCTATATTGCCCTTCGAAATGACGTTATTGTATTATTAGTTTGAATATGATACAATTTTTACTTTCGTGGAATATTTCCCGTATCACATGCTGAAACGTGTAATAACTGATAATACACATAGATGATAAGCCGTGATAGAATTTGACTTTCAAAACAGCTTAATAATAATAATCCATACAGCGATTAGATTAAATGGAAATTGACTATTAACGCAACGTCGGAACAAAATTAAACAATCATACAAATCCACCCTTTTCTATTATTAGTTAATTGTCATTTGAATTGTTCGCTGTCTCGTCTTACTTTTGATCGTGTAAAGTACAAAGGTTTACACGGGAAGCGGCAATAGTCTTTAAATAGATATTCCACGACAGAACGACACATTGCAAATAACAATCTAGATACAATAATATTACCCATTCTAATTCTATTTTACTTATCTATCCATGATTACATTCAACTACCGTGAAACAAATAATTGAATTATAAATCATTAAAAAGAATCCTTTGACTTTATTATATAGACCATTCTTTTGTTCAGCCTAATGTTAAAAATATTTAGCCTTTTGAATTATGCTCATCTTTATCAACCAAGGACTTGAACTTCAATAAAGCAATAAACCATATGCAAGGTACATGTATGTTCTACTGATGCAATACAGTACTATATAAATAGGAGTGCGGGCAGAGGCGTAAAGCAACATTTAATTGTAAAAACGAAATTAGTTCCGTTGGTGGAGGAGAGAGTTGATGATTTAGTTTTATGAAATTGTTAAAGAAAAAAGTGAACGGAAATTCAACATTTCGCCCATCCTGGATTGAAACAATATCTATTACTTTTTCTAAGATGTATAATTGTTTGGATAAAATAATACATTCAATTCGAAAACAACTTTGGTAGCTTATATAAAAAAGGAGATGGGAAAATTGTATTCAACTTATATGGAAGTGATTAAACTGACATATGTCTCATACAAAGGTTTTTAACGAAAACATAGCTGGTTCAGAAGGCCCACATCTGAATGTGTATCCCCGATAGACTAGAACCAAAGCAATTTAGTTAACATGCAAAATCTCACAATCTGCCATTTGTTACAGACGCCGACCGCCGAACACCAACCACAGACCGCCAAACGCCGTCCACAAAAAAGTCGGAGTCCCTATGACGGGTCTGTGTATATAAATTGATAATAAAATTAAACAGAAGAATTTTAAACTGCCAGTCACAAAAAGCCATATAAGTAACAAGTGTAAACGTACCTAGTTACAGTGCGACTGAATGCAGTAAAAGAGTGCTCCACGTATATATTAGCTAAAATTGCTAATAGAAAGACTTAAAAGATGTAAAAATTAGGGAAATGTACGTAGATCTTTAGAAGTGGTGAAAAGCAAAAAATATGAGATGTTACCGGACTAGATGCCTCTTTGAATCTTTGACCCATTTTTCGAGGCCCTACAAAATTTTTTGGCTCAAAAACTTTTGGGGCCCTAAATTTTGTGTGGGCCCACAAAGGGGGGAGCGGGCCCCATGGATCCGCCAGTGTTCTTAAGTACTTGGGTACTCAATTATATTCATACATGTGAACGGGTTCCCAAATAAAAAGGAAATTGTTAAAATAGTTTATTCAAGTGACACATCAGCATCTCAGCGTCAGCGTATAACAGCATTCATTCAATATTGGTTATATGATCGAGATGACCTACATGTATCAAGCCAAATTATATTCGTATTTTGAAAGTTGATTTCTCTGTGATATTATACAAAATGGGAAACATTAAACAAAAAGGTGCTACCTCTAAACAAGCGGTGTGGATATCCGTTATCCGTAAAGGTGACGATATCCGCACCGTTTGTTTAGAGGTAACACATACAGTATCTGATAAATGTTTTCAATTTTTTAAAACGCGACACAGAAAAAAAGTTTATGACCTTCGAAATGCAAAAATGTGTAACAACCAGGGGTCACACTCGCCTAGCCGTGACGTTAATAAAAAGTACAAGGTGTTAAAATATACTTGAAATTTCTGTAGTAGCGTATGGCCTAGACTAGGGAGTGTGTTGGTTGTTATGAATTTTAATCTGCTCTTTACTGACAACTAACTGTCACACTGATCTCAATAATAACATAAAATATGATTTGAATTAAAATATATATATTACGTAATCAACTATAAGTATGAAGAATATGTACAATGAGTATTTACAATGATGCTAAGGTCTTTCAGATGGTTTATCAAACATACCTAACAAAACAGTTTTCAATCTTATTACCAATCTGACCTTATATAGACTAATACACACAACTACTTCATGTAGATGCTCAACAATACTAGTGCCACCTTTTGGCAAATATTCAAACTGATAAAAGTACACACATGATGGCTATGAATATCTATCTCCAACTAAAACCTTGCAAAATTAGTATGCTACCCTTAGCTGGTAATATTCACAGAACAAAAGAAGACATAGTTCTGAATATTAAGACGATTATAATCCGCACAATATAAAAAAGTCAATCTCCTAAATTCTCCATGTGCGCCTCCTCAACGCTTTTTTAAGACGTGCTCTGATTGGCTAATCTAAACTAGGCTGAAGTTTTTGGCACCAAATTCAAAAGTTATAAAAAGTTTAAATGACCTTTAAACCTTACAATAAATTGAAATACAAATATTTACATTAAGAGCTATATGAAATAATTAAACTGGGCATGAAATATAAAAAGTAACAACCCAGGGTTGTTACAAATGATTTATATCGATTGGTCATCTCGATCACCAATACTGAATGAAGGCTGTAAACGGTGTAATAATTTGGAGCAAGGAGCGTCGTTTAAGAATGAAGAGTACAACTATCACACCGGAATAGCCTGACTGCGGTAAAGTCAGATACCGTTGTCACAAATGGCGGACACCCGGGGGCGGACATAACCGTCATATCTCGATCTCGATATCTTGATACCGACTTGGGCAAGGCTCGTACCCCTGCTTAGGAGGATCCGATGAAAAGTAGGTAAATGAAGTAGCCTAGCTCAAAGTAGGTCAATGAACTAACTGTAGGCTAGTTCAGTTCTAAATTTTCGTTTTAGGCCTATGCTGGTCTCAGCTGAGACTAACATAAAAACATTTATGTTAGTCTCTCTCATATACTAGTAGTAGAAAATGATTTACTCTGTACATACTCACATTTGTGTACTCTATACTTTGTGCAATTTAGTGAAAGATGCAAAAAGGAATGGATGGAATGGAATGAGTAAGCCAAGTGCCCTTGCCTCGTTGTCCTCCCCCTCAATCTGACCTAGATCTACTATAGGAATTCATTGAGCATACATGTATTTTGATTTTCAGAACTTCTCTGGCTCTTCACCATGAGAAATAATTAACTTCTGTTAACTTTCCATTCTAGTTAAAACAGGTTTGTGAATGTTGGGCCCTACACAAATACACTTGTAAGTTGTTTTTATTTCGTGAATCTCTATATGTGTCCATGATCCATAGACCGCGATTAGAAAATCAAAATCAAAATAAATTCAACCAGGTAAGTTGCTTTTTTGCAATTTTGGATCGTAAACCACTGAATATTCTAGTTATTCAAACATTCTGAAGGATTATCAACCCTCAATAAATAGTCTAGGTACACTAATGTTATCGCGTGACAGGAAAGGGGCAATAAGGTCTGCAGAGAGAAAATTAGAAAATTTTAATTCTTTCTGAGCAATCTGGTTAGACAAACCTATTTTCTTAAATGTTTGTATAAACTAGCAATTTCAGCATTAAGAAGTGTAAATTCAGTTCAAAGCACAGTCGAAAAGAATGTTCTGGTGAACGGAGATTGGGATTCAAAATTCTTGAAGTTGGGAAACACGAATGAAAAGAATGAAGTAACCTTTTCTATTTCCCAAATCTCTCTGAAATTAGCTCATCTTGATGACTGTAAATTGCACAGCTGTATTCAATGGAGTGTTCCCGTATTCAGTCATCCTCAATTTTAAAGTGTATATTTTATTTTAATGTGTTTTCATTGTTTTTTGTCGACCTGTACGATCTGGCCGAGCAAATGGCAAGATGGATGACCCTTGACAGATGGTGATCACGTCATCAATATTACCAAGATGGCAGTTTCAAAATTTTCTAAAATCGCTTCAAATAATATTATGTTAATTTCTAGCGAGTAAACCTATCTCATAGTTTGCTATTTCACAGTAAGGTAAAGAAATATGTTAGGAATTCGCTTTTATCAATTAAAACATCACATCGACATGTGGTATTCGTAAACTAGACGATGAAGATTACGAAAGCGGGGGGTTTTTAAATGACGTCACTTCTCAAAAGGAATTCTCAATGAGCTGCATAGCAACCGTGGAATAAACAATTTCTGATTGTTAAAGATCAGTCCCTTTCAAAATATTGAGTAATTACTTATTTCTACGGTTCATTACGAATCACTTATAACTATCTTACGAATAAATTCTTCTTACATTAGAAATTAACATCTCATAAAATATGTCGAATTTAATCGGTAGGAAACACAAAGAAATACATTTTTAACGATAATTTTTTAAAGTAGGTCAAATTTTTTAGAAGGGTAAACTTCCCAGGAATTTAAGATTGTCACGTCTTGTTTGAGAACGAGAACGAGACCTTGTGCCAAAGGCCCGTCTTTTTAGTCAGTCGACCTGTTCAAAGTACTTGTACGGAAGGATGATAATGATGTATGACATAGTTAGAGAACAAAAGCAAGCCGCTGATCGACTTAATTCGTGTTTCAATGGTCACTATTATTCAGCTGTCCATTTCTCCATTTGAGAGCCATAAGTTTCAAAATCTAACATGGCTCTCGAAGTGAGTAAGGGAGTCCCACTAATAGATTTTTAAGATCCGCCACGTTTCAAGAGGAATATCAGCTGAAATAATGTTCATCCAGTGGGTTAAATTTCTTTGTAGATAATGAAAATATATGTTAGTCTTGATGAAATGTCCAAACTTAAATATATTTTGACACTGGTCGATGATCGTTGAATGGCCCCCTGCACTGTTGCACTACAGCTGGAAAATAACATTTTGGTAAAAATTACCTGCACATGTTATTTTCTGGTACAAAATAAAGTATGAAGGCATGTATCAATTTCCTTGCTTTTTTCAGGAGAATATCATTACATTGTCTTCTTTTAGAATATCTGGTAGGCATTCAATGGGAACTCCAGGAAATTCTGATATTTCAAATTCTTTCTATTTTTCCAAATTTTCTTTCAAAGTTTCCAGACAACACAGGAGCTACCATTGACCTGTTTCCAGGTTTACTAAAAGTAACATGAGACCTTGCTTCCCTTTTAAGGTGCCGTGGTACTTAACTGGAAATGACAAAACAGGAAGTGACAAAACCATGCTGGATTTCAAACATTTTTTGAACCAAGATAACAAATTGTCCACTATTTCCGATGCTGATTGAACGAAATGCGATGGTACGTTCCCTTGGGGTTGCCATTTGGATCACAGGCCTGTCAACTGTCCCGCAATTTGCGTATTTGTCACGCATTTGCTGAAGAATTTGAAGTCACGCCAGTTATTTTTGCGTGACAGAAAATGTCACGCAAATACGCATTTTACCTGGTAATTGTCAAGCAAAAGTATTTCTGTAGAAAAATTTCTAAAAAAGTTCGTCTACACAGCAAAAATACAAACGCCGAAAAAAAACGTACGCATTTCGTTCGGACTTTTTACGCGAATCACTAATATGTCACGCATTCCGTTATTTATTCCTAGTCTAAATAAGTGTTCATTTGTTCATTTCCCACCCGCCGGGCATAGAAGATAATCATTCATTTTCAGTTATTCATGTTCTTTCTGGTCAAATATAGAGAATGTTGAATTATTGGTCCCTGTTTCGACCTGAGAGCCTAATTCGCGGGACCGAACAAAATCAGGTATTTGTGACACCTCTATTTTTAATGTGTAATAAAACAAGTCAGAATGTCAAGTCAAAAAAGTTTTTGCGACATTCAGTGGGTCGGTGTCATTTTTTGTGTCACCCTGTATTTTCCATCAATGTTGCAAACTCCCAGCTCTAATTGGAAATCAAAATTCCTGGCAATTTTTCAAACTTATCACATTGATTTTTCCAATTGTTTTTCACGGGGATTCCCTGTAGTAGTTTATACAATTCTGGTCAAGCGATAACTAGTTCAAAGCTTTTTCATTTCTATGTCACTCTCTTCAGTAGTAAAAATACCTTTGTTTGTAAAAAAATGTCAAACACCATTTTGCTTTTCAATAGTACTATATCATCCCACCCAAGAAATGACCAGATTTCTGGGAGGGATAGGGGTCGTGGCTCCCCTATACATTAAGTTGGCTAAAGCAACAAGAAATTCCCACCTGAGAGTATTACTAAAACTAGAAGCCTATTAAGTCCTGTATACAGTGGACGTTATACATATATTGTAATGGACTCTGCTTTGCCACCTGATATATAACAGCTTGATTATTACACATGAATTATGACATCAGAGGATAAACCTAAACTTGGATAAGATAAAGATAGTTGTACACTTCTAAAATATCATAAACATTAAATGTACATGTTAAGTGTGGTCTATAATATTCAGGCCAGCTGGCATGATACAATGAAATGTATGACGCAGAACAACTGCTTTCATCATTATTATAATGTAGCTTGTTTGACTCTTGTGTCACTGGTGATCCACTTGATTACGCTGGTTACCGAAACGGTTCGTTAAGGAAAAAAGAAAATCGTACCTTCGACGTTCCGACATTTTGTTCCGACATTTATGTAATGGTCACTGATTGACAAAAATTTAATGCGAAAATTATTATCGGTAGGGATATAGAAAAGCTGTACAAAGGGCAATAACACAAATACTGGAAGATACCTCTTGAAGATAGGATATCTGCTGCTGAATCAATTTATCTTTGAATACTCAAATACCAGTTGACTGATTTGGTTCAAATTTTATATGCTGATGCCTAGGGACAAACAAGCTTGCCCAAGAAGAGATTTTCAAGATGGCCACTGTTTTTTAAATATGGCTGCCTTTTTTGTAAAAAATGTAATCTTTGATAACTCAAATACCAGCAAACGGATTTGATTCAATATGCTGATCCCTATTGACAAAGAGCTCTGTTCAAGAAGAAATTTTCAACATGGTTGCAGCAAATTAATTTCAAAATGGCCACCATTTTTCATAAAAATGCAATCTTTGATAACTCAAATACCAGTGAATGGATTTTGTTCAAAATTTGTATGCTGATGCCAAAAAGGATAATTTAGCTCTGTTCTAGGATTTTTCAAGATGGCAGCTGAATTTTATGGCCTCCATTTTTGGGCAAAGACATAATCTTCGATGACTCCAATACCAGTTGATGGATTTGGTTCAAATTTTATATGCTGATATGCTCTGGTTAAGAATAGATTTTCAAGATGGCCACTTATTAGCATAATATGTTTTGTTCGGTGGGATTTTCTGTTCCGTGAAGTTACTGTTTTTCTAGTTTATATTCTTTACCAATTCTTGAGAATGAAATAAAAGATCTCTCTGAACCTTGTTTGAACAAAATAGCATACAACAGTTTCTTAGACCTCTCAATATTATGGTCATACAAGGAGCCTCGGACTATATAGCAAACAGTGAGAGAGCATGCCCAACCTGCAATGTGATAGAGACTCTTGAGCATTTCATCTTAGTATGTGAGAGATACGAGCAATTACGAGGCAACATTCGGCGCATTCTTAATAGAGTATCCAATGGCCCACCTTTATCCAGAGCAATGCAGATGAAGATATGTTTTGGAGGAACTACAGTAACTGACCTAGATGATTTAAAACTAATTTCTACAGACGTTCAGAGGATGTATATTGCAAGGGCAGGGGAGTAGTTTGACATGTGATTGGCACCTAGGAGCATTAAATCTATATTTTAAACATACTTAACGCCGATGACAGTACGTTATAACACGACCTTTGATATATGAAAAAGGCAATAATGACCATGAACATAGTATCTATTGCATATTGTATTTTGTATATAGTACTTTTTGGAAGAAGTAAATTTCATGCAATGGCAAAGGGAAGTATGTATTGTAATTGGCAACGAGATGCATTTATGTGATATCATATTTTATTGTTTTAACCGTTTCAACAAGTACGACAGAAGTCAGAATGATGTTTTAAATGTGGCCCACTTCTCAACGAGGGAAGCATCGACCTTGGGGAAGATGTCCGCCTGAGTGGAGAAGATGGGCCATGAACTCAGCGTACCTTGTGTCGACATCCAAATCTTATATTAGATTTTATATTTTTATATTCATTATATTTTTGTCAGACAATATTATTAATTATCTCCAATAATGGAGGGAAAATAAATATAATAATAATAATAACAAAGGAAAGTTTGGTTCTGAGTTGAGTGAGCATTCAGCAAAAAGTATTCCAAGAATTGAAACAAAAAAAACAAAATAAATAATAAATAAATAAATAAAGTAAACCTTTTATTTCAATAACAAGATACTTTTTTAAATTAA